AGAGCCTGTGTTCCGCAACGGGAGAGGCCACAGCAGTGAGAGGCCCGCGTACCGCAAAAAAATAAAAAATAAAAAAATCTACAAACAATAAATGCTGGAGAGGGTGTAGAGAAAAGGGAACCCTCTTGCACTGTTGGTAGGAATGTAAATTGATACAGCCACTATGGAGAACAGTATGGAGGTTCCTTAAAAAACTAAAAATAGAACTACCACACGACCCAGCAATCCCACTGCTGGGCCTATACCCTGAGAAAACCATAATTCAAAAGGAGTCATGTACCACAATGTTCACTGCAGCACTGTTTACAATAGCCAGGACATGGAAGCAACTTAACTGTCCATCGACAGATGAATGCTTAGAGAAGGTGTGGCACATATATACAATGGAATATTACTCAGCCATAAAAAGAAACAGTTATCTGTAGTGAGGTGGATGGACCTAGAATCTGTCATACAGGGTGAAGTCATAAAGAGAAAAACAAATACCGTATGTTAACACATATATATGGAATCTAAAAAAAAAAAGGTTCCGAAGAACCTAGTGGCAGGACAGGAATAAAGACTCAGACGCAGAGAATGCACTTGAGGACACGGGGAGGGGGAAGGGTAAGCTGGGACGAAGTAAGAGAGTGGCATGGACATATAGACACTGCCAAATGTAAAACAGCTAGTGGGAAGCAGCCGCGTAGCACAGGGAGATCAGCTCGGTGCTTTGTGACCACCTAGAAGGGTGGATAGGGAGGGCAGGAGGGAGACGCAAGAGGGAGGGGATATGGGGATATATGTGTACGTATAGCTGATTCACTTTGTATACAGCAGCAACTAACACAACATTGTAAAGCAATTATACTCCAATAAAGATGTTAAAAAAAAAAATAGGGGGCCTGACCGGAGTGTCAGGGCAATGCTGGTCTCACAGAATGAGTTAGGAATTCTCTCCTCTCCACTTTTAAGGAAAGTCTGAGTAGGACTGGTATTAGTTCTTTAGACGTTTGATAGAATTCACCAGTGAAGCCATCGGGTTTTGGGCTTTGTCAGGAGACCCTAAGTTACCGGTTCAGTGGGGAGGGGCTTCGGGTGTGGAGCTCTGCCTGGAGGCAGCCCTGGGACCTCGCAGACCAGGATCCCCAGGGTGTGAGCTGAGGACCCCTGCACCTGGTCCAGGGGGCAGGGCAGCAGCTTCCACGAGGGCCTGCCACAGAGGAGGCGGCCCCAGGGCAGCCAGGCCACCCTGGGCCTCGGGAGAAAGCAGTGTGCTTGAAGCTCTGCTGCCCAGCAAGTGGGAAGGGATAAAAAGGTGGGCACTGCGTGCGGTGCTGCTGCCTAGCTGGTCTCCATGCTTTTTAAGACAGCCTCCCGATACTGACAGTCTATTATGATCCAGCCAACAGAGAGGTTTAAAAATAAAGTTAGAGCTCATTTAAACTGCCAAATGCTTAATAATGAATATCATTACTGACTATATTGATATCTAAAACCAGGATTTTTCAATCTATCCATCCAGTGTGGTAAGAAGTGCACCAATGCTTTCTTCATTGAGCTTTATCCACGTGGTAAAAATACTGAAAATTAAAACATGTTATTTTCTAAAATCGGTGCTGTTAGCTAAAATGTGTTTTCATTTGTAATTCCAGTGCTAGCTATGATTTGGGGGCAAGATTCTTTTACCCTAAAAGACACTATACAGGCCGACCTCATTTTATTGCATTTCACTTGATTGTGCTTCACAGATGCTGCTCTTTTTTTTCCCTTACAAATTGAAGGTCGTGGCAAGGCTACAGGCATCATTTTTCCAACGGCATTTGCTTACTTCATGTCTCTGCATCACATTTTGGTAATTCTTGCAATATTTCAAGCTTTTCATTATTATTATAGTCACAGTGATCTGTGATCAATGGTCTTTGGTGTCACTACTACGACTCACTGAAGGCTCTGATGATGGTTAGCATTTTTTATCAATATTTTTAAATTGAGGCTTTTTGAGACATAATGCTATTACACACTCAACAGACTACAGTATAGTGTAAACATAACTTTTATATGCACTGGGAAACTGAAAAGTTCCTGTGACTTGCGTTATCGAGATGGTCTGGAACCAAACCTGCAACATCTCTGAGGCCTGCCTGTACAACCTGCATCCATGGAGCCGGGCAGTCATTTTCAATGGCTGCTGACATCACGGAAGGAAACAAGCAGATGCTTATACCCACCACCACCGCTGATGAAATGCTCTATGAAACAAAACAGGCAAACTAACAAAACAACAACAGACTCTGATCAAGGTGGGAAATATAGGACAAAGGGGAACTCAGTAAAGGACACCATGTGCATGCAACCAGCAAAAATCCAGACTGGGGACACCCTCCAGGACCAGTAACCTGGGTTTTCTACAGAGAGATTACAAGGAAAATGAGGGGAGACCTCTAGATATGGAAAGACTCATCACGAGAATGAACCACCAATTACAATGTAGGGAGCTAGCCTGGGTCCAGATTCGAACAACTGTACTGTCAAGAAATTTTAAATGAGACAATCAGAAATTTGAAGTGACCAGGTGATGATATTCAGGTATTACTGTCAATTTTAAAAGATATGATACTTGACATTGTGGTCATGTGAGAGAAAAAAAGAGGATCTTTAATATATTTCCAGATGAAATGATATGATGTCTGTCGTTAGCTTCAAACTGATCTCGGAGTGGGTGGGGGGCAGGTGAAACAAGATTTATAAATGAATTGTTAAAGCTAACCTGGGGGACCAGGTCATTAGATTATTCTGTCCATTTTTATGTTCGAATTTTTCCATAAGAAAAAGTTGAAAATCAAAACCAGGAGAAGGCACTACAGACGGACAGGTCACACCTGAACAATGTGCCTCATGTGCCTGGATTCTGAGTTTTGTGACATGCAAATTGTAAAGTTTTTTTTTCCCCCAGCAAGAGGAATTGTTATGCTTTCAGAAATGCCTTAAGATCATTTCTAAAGAGTTTGAATACTGTTTTAAAATATACTGGGGCCTTTAATAAAATAGCATTTCACATGTGCCCTTCCCAAGCAGTTTGTCCAGTTTTGACATCTACTGCTAACAAAATGGAAAAGCTCCATTTTCTTTTGAAAATAATTTTTGGAGTTAGTTGGGGTGATTTGCAAACAATCATGCAGTATGCTTATCTAAGAGGAGAAGCCAAAGGCATTTTTGAATGAGATTTCAGAACAGTGCATTTCCTGGACCAAAACACGTGCTTCGGCCTGTGAGGGGGCCAGCATGGTGCCCGACACCTGTGCTCGCACTGTAGCAACGATGGGCCCATCGTTGGGAGCGCTCCCATCTCCTGTAAGCGCCCCCGCCCCCGCCCCGCTCAGAGCTGAACAGAGGCCCCCACTAGGGGTGACAACACACCTCATGGGAGGCATGGCTTCTGCACGCACCACAGGGAAGAGCACACGATAACGAAGGGTAACGGAAAACAAACAGAAACATCAGCCCAGGCTTACTGCACCGACGGCTCGTATCCCACTCCTCTCCAGAGCATGCCCACTTTCTCACTGCAGAACACCTCTGGCACCAATTCTCTTCTTTTGAACTTGTTCAGCACCTCCCTGCCCGCCCCGTCCGTTGGTGATCTGTCCTTCGGCACTGACAGACGTCCCCCAACACAGCCCTCGAGTGTGTCCTCCCAGCTGCACCTGGGCCCCGGCCCTAGGCCTTCCCGTCGGCACAGTGGACCCGCATCCCTGCCCCGGCCGGCCGGCTCCTCCCCGTGTGCTCTTCTTCCTTCTCAGTCAGCCCCTTTCCTCCATCCTTTCCCCCTTCTCTACTGTATAATCTACACTGAAAATAAAATTTAAATAAAGACGAGAACCCCTCTGGAGGCTCCTCGACCCTGGAATCCTCACCTCCCTCCTCTGCTCCCTGAGGGTGCCAAGTCCACCACCCTCAGGACTTTTAAACTTTCTGCTCCTTGTGTCTGGGAAGCTCCTCCCTTTGACCCCTGGGTCTCAGATGTCACCCCCGAGAGAAGTGCTCCGTTGTGGGCTCTGTCATGTGCTGCCCAGATCCCCTTCAGGACTGGGACTGATTCTGGTTGCAGGGAGATGGCCCTCGGCTGGCAGCGCTCCTCGGGAATTGCTCTGGCTAAGACCCCGGCCCCCAGATGCTGCCCCAAATCCAGGCAGCTCCAAGGGCCGTCCCAGCCCAGAGGTCTCGGCAGGGCAGTGGAGGCTCTGGGCCAGCCTCTCCCTTCTGTATGGAGCCTGGGCGGCTCTCATCAGCACCCGCACTCGCTCTCAGAGTCAGATTCCCAGAACACCCAAACCCTGACCTCCATCCAAGAGGTCACCCGATCCCTCATCACCTCACCTTGCTTCATTCCTCCATGTAGCTTCTAGCATTGATATTTCTGTTTACTTCTCATCCTCTGCTTCTTATCACTAGAACCTAAGTTCCAGCAGAGCCAGGGGCTGGTTTATCTTTGCGTCTCCAGAGCCCACACCAGGGCCTGGCCCAGAAGACAGAGTTGTCAGAGGAACAGACGAAGTGACTCACAGCCTCTGTGCCTCTTACCGGCTTGTTTAGGATTACAGATAACGTACACACAGGGTTTACACAGCACACTTTCTGAAGGTGTAATGATCAGATCACTATGTTCAACCTTAAGTCTTCCTTCAGAAAACAATATGAAAACTGAAGAAAATGCAGAAAAAGGTCACTACAGGTCTAAAGGACTGCAGCCATGACCAAAAGCAAGGAGAGCTTAAAACCTGATACAGTCTGGCAAACGATGGACCTACTGTGTGTAAACTGTCATTTACAGATAAACTAAAAACAAAAGGGGGACTAAAGGTAAGGAAGCTGAAAGGCTGTGTGGCAGGGGAATCTGCAGGCCCTGGGAGGGAGTCTCCACCCCGTCAGAGGGTCAGCACCTTCCTGTGTGGAGGGAAAAGCACCCTGCGTCACCAGAGCCTGCTGTTCAGGATCGGGGTACACTGGGCCTTACTCACAGGAGACGTGGTTTCTGGTTTGGACACTGGTGGTTTAAAGGTAGAAGCGTTTTGGGAAACCGCTCCTTTCTTTTCTGCAGCCGCCCCCGTGGACGAACATTCTAAGTAATCCGGTGGGGGGATGACGACGCTGCTTTTCTCAAATAAGTTCATCGTGCTCATGCTCCGTACTGATATCGAGCTAGTGAACAAGAACCAGAGGATACAAGTTAGATGAGACCTGGCCCCTGCACCCCAAACATCCCCAATCTCCTATGGCCAGAACTGCGGTGGATTAATAATCCAATATGGTGAGGGAGGAGGAGATTACCACACACACACACTGTATATGACACTGCAGTGTTTCTGCTGACATAAATGTACACTCGAAAGAAATCCTTTAAAAGACATGACAAAAGAAAAGGAGAGGAAAACTGGCTCAATTAGGGGCTGGCTCTTAATTCAAGGAGTTCAATAAGAAAATACAGCAAATGCCTTAAGCAAAAGCATCGAGCACTTTGGACTAAAAAATCTCAGAATTTTAACATCCTAAAAATACGTAGGGGCGTCCCTGGTGGCGCAGTGGTTGGGAGTCCGCCTGCCGATGCGGGGGACATGGGTTCATGCCCCGGTCCGGAAAGATCCCCCATGCCACAGAGCAGCTGGGCCCGTGAGCCACGGCCGCTGAGCCTGC